AAGCTTCTTTTTGAGCTTGTTTTGATCGGAAGGAAGTGTTTTACAACTTTTCTTATGACTGTAGAATAGGTTAATAGACTACGTTATGAGAAATAACTAAAAGTTTAGTAATGAAGACCAAAGGTTGTTTTGGCAGTATTAAACTGCAAGTTCGAAAGCTATAGACTTGAAACTTTCAGAATATATGTAAAATTAGGCTCTGAGCAAGTTTACTTAAGACACCAAAGTTGGTATCCTAATAAAATAACCAGATATTGACGATTTTATTACTGATGAATTTTTAGTTATTTTTGTGTAAAAAGGATTTATGAAAAGAGTTTTTAATCTTTGTTAAACTACTTACTAATTATATTTAATTTTCATACTCTATATAAATACAATTGCATGTTCTGCAACAATAAATATCTGTATTATAATAAATAATCAAGTTATGGTACCTTTATTTTCTTATATTTTTATTGAATATGAGTAAATCGAATACCAGACTCTCACTTAAAAAGAATCCATTCAATAACAAACCTTCCCAAAAAGAAGGCATTCTTGAATTTAAATATACTTTGAGTAATGAGAATCTTGTAACAGGAGAATCATTTGAATATGTTATAAATAGAAAGTTTCACAACCTTCCTCTCTTTAAAATTATTTTCTAAGGACTTTAGTAATTAGGCCTCACAGCAATGGTAATAGTGTAACAACTGGTTTTGTAGCAATTAAGCTGCAGTAGCAGTACGAGAACCTTGTTAGTTTTGCTTCGCAGCTGCAGTAGTAGTGCAAAAATCTTGTTTTAAGTAGTAGTACATGAACCTTCGCTAAATGGGTTGCAGGCTCCATGGCTGAGATAACAGTGCAGTGTATTTAAAAAACCCAGTTTACCTCTAGTCGCTATAGCTCAATCCTGTATATACTTGAGTACTTACATGTATATGCATAAACTTACTGATATCGATCGTACTGGTCCTGTGTGGCACTGCATGCTGTGCAGCTACCTTTTTAATATAATATAATTATATAAAAATACTTTTATATAATTATACTGCTATATTATCATAATATAAATATATGTTCAACTGTGTAATTATAAATAAAAGTGACCATAGTATAAAAAAAATATATATACGAGTATAAACTTAAATAAAATAAGTAAAAGCAGAATATAACTTGATACATATAATAAAGCTAAAATCTATAACAATAAATAGTAAAATCAATAATTATATAAGAAAATTTAACAATATTATTGTATATAATATGCTTGCTATCCAAATCTCAAACTATTATAGTTTAGGTTTGTCCACGCTAAATTCCCAAACTTAAGCCAAAACTACACATCACTCCGGTTATATCGACACCTCAAAAAAATATAGAAATTGTCCAATATATTCAGATGTCGGTTTAACCAAAATATTTTATATTAAGTATATAGTTTTAAATTTTAAAAATATTGTTATATCCAGATGTCAGTATATTCAGATGCCAACATGACCAGAGTAGTAATGTGTTATTTATATAATATCTAAAAAATTTTAGTATATAGTACGTAAAGTATGTACTGTATAATAGTTCTTTTTCTGCATTTGATTGACTGGAAAAAGTGATTGCAAAAATTTTAGCGTACAGTATGTATAGTATGTATAGTACTATACGTAGCATATTACTAAACCAGAGTGACATGTATTATGTCAAAAACTTTGGGTTATAAAATAATTTGTTTTGAGATATGTCCTGGTTTGGCAGCAAGTATAGCCATAGAATAGTGTTTGTACTAACTTAAACACAAAAAATAATAGAAAAAGGCTATCCAATCAGATACTAGAATTTGTGACTCCATTTAACTTATAATAAACTACACAGATCGAACAAATAAATACAGTGGCAATCATAAGTAATAGAGCAAAAAAAAAAATTTGGTTAGATCACGTTATTTCATACAATTCTGGACGTATTCTTTTGTTTTTTTTGTAATTTGCTCATAAATAGTTACCTTTTTTGATATTAAATTCTTAATTTAGGTTGTTTTGCTGGTTCAGAAACAATCACATGTTGTATCATGAAAAATGTGATATATTACTTATGATCATTCCCTATAAAGGTCAGATGAGGCTTATGTATGACATAAATAACAATATAAAAGTAAATTACATTATTATTTTTGCATCATTGTACAATGCTGAATCTTATTGATAATCAAGTTTTAAGAAAAAATGAATGAACAACTCCAGCCCAATGGACTAAAATTTTACTTTCACTGCAAAAAGGATACACCACAAGGACAGTAGATCGTATCTATAAAATTAGTTCCTCCACCATCTCCTGTATTAAAAATAGATGGTTAAGACACCATGAACTTGATAACTTGGCAAGGGTTGGTCACCAAGTTAGTTTGGACAAACCAACTCAAAAGAGGATTGTAAACCTAATTACCTCCTGTCGCTGCTCAAGTGCCATCAAAGTGTACACCCACTTGAAAGAACAAGAAAACATTGACATTTGTGCACCCACTGTACATCATATACTTGGATCTCATGGTTTGATGTCAGGTGTTAAAAGAAAGAAGCCTTACCTAAGCCAACTTCATAAAAAATGTCGGTTAGAATTTGCAAAAAAATATGAAAGTTTTATTTATGAAGACTGGGCCAAGGTAATTTGATCCAACGAGTCAAAGTTCAATATTTTTGGATCAGATGGCAAGCAATATTATTGGAAGCATCCTGGAGAACCTTTAAATGACTTCCACATTAAGTCTATGGTGAAATATGGCAGTGGTTCTGTCATGATTTGGGGTTACTTTACGTCTCACAGTGTTAGTGGTTTTTGTAGAATCGAAGGCCATATGGATGGCGAGTTATATCGTCAAATATTTCATGAGAATTTTTTGGGAACCATTAGAAATTACGAATTTAATATTCACAATGTGATTTTCCAGCAAGACAATGATCCTAAGCATACGACAAGGTTGACGAAACATTGGTTGATGAATAACCATATTAGGTTGTTGGATTGACCCCCCCAGTCTCCTGATCTCAACCCCATTGAACATTTGTGGATTGAGGTTGACCATCGACTTAGGAACCTCCCTGGGCAAATTTCGAGTAAAGAAGACCTGTGGAACAAGATCCAGATGGTTTGACAGCAAATCGATGTTGAGACCTGCACCAACCTGATTTGATCCATGCCCGAACAGCTTTGTGATGTTATTAGGGCATGTGGTGGATACACCAGGTGTTAAAAGCCTGGAGGATTAGAATAGAAAAAAAACATTTTTTTTTTATATGTAAAAAATTTTTTTGTTGTTTTATGATTGTGTTGCATTACGCATGATCAAAAGTAATGCAACACGGCAAATGAAATAAAGTTCGTTTTTACGAAAAATTGGGATCATTTATTTTTTTTGAATTTTTTTTACATGAAACTTATAGTATTTACGAATAAATTAAAAAAAAAAAACAAAAGAATACGTCCAGAATTGCACGAAATAACGTGATCTAACCAAATTTTTTTTTTTGCTCCATTACTTATGATCGCCACTGTAATGTGTAAATAATAAAATACAAACCTTCTATTATGTATCCTATATGCTCCATATATCCGTCAAATAACTGTAGCTTATTAGGCGGATCTATGGTAGCATATAGGGTACATAATGGGAGGTTTGTATTCAATTATTTACCCGTTATTTATTTGTTCGACTTGTGTCATACTCCGTGTACTTCATACTCATTCCTGGTTTTGTGTGCATGCATTTGAAATACTGTTTATTGGCGCAATAAGAATCATCCAAAAACACTTTCTATAACATTATGCCTTTATTCTTCCTTGTATGGCCATCATCACTTTTGGATTTGTTATATTTATATGTCATATTATAACTCGTTTTTGCTTGTTCTAATCACGATTTTGTTGGAATTTAGCATACAAAGTAACAAGGAAGGATCATTTAACAGATGCCAAGAATTAACTTGCAAATAAACCATATTATATTTAGACCTTTCGGTTTTCACTTGATGTTCCCATCTTTTTCTTTTGGACAACGTCTTAATTATATTCAAAATATATTAGTTCTTATCGTTATGTGATGATAATTAAAAGTATTTGAACGATGTATACAACGCTTTTTAAGTGGCATCTTATATTTGGATGACAAAGCCTCACAAATGTACGATTTTTAGTCACGCAGATTAAATATGGGTATTACCTACTTAATTGAAACTGTAATCCACTTCCGAATGAGGCAACCATACATAGTAAATTGTGGCACGCGGATCGTATGTTTTATAAATAAAATTGCTAAGCCACAAATGCCACTTAACGAAACAGTAATGTCATTTTTCTACTAAGTAAATATATCTTCAATTTTTAAGTAAACAGTAGATCACAGATTTTGCTAGAAAACGATTTTCCGACTAATGACAACAAACTATTGTGCCATTTTTGGCTATAGTAAAATTTATAATAAAATAAGTCACAATTTACTATATAGGTTTATATATTATTGTCTCATTCGAAACCGGATTATCAATTAAACACGTAACTCGCTATTAAACTATATTCTAGGTACTCCGTACCGGTACCTTGTTCCCGGTATAAAAAAAAAATTTAAAAATAGCAAATTATTAGTAAATATATGAATAGATTTTTTTATAAAAACACTCTTCATTCTTTCCAAATAAGAAACAATAAAGCCGTGTAATGTAATGTGATATTGAATCCTTACGCATATTCAGTGCGACAAGTTTCGGAATATGTAGTATACAATTAGTGTTTATAAAAATGGGCGAAACGTAGTAGTCAATATTCAATGGTACAAAAGGGATCACATGATTTTGCAATAATATGAAACGATAAACTTTGTTGAAATATGATACCATTTTCCAAAATAAGTGGGCAAGATAAACAAATTATTATTATTATTATTATTATTCTCTCTTTCCAGAATCGGAACTATTAATCAACGTTATAATCTCTCTTTCCAGAATCGAAGCACACATTCATTTAGGCATAATATGTCTGAACCACAGATTATTGAAAATATTCAAGTGTCTTCTAAAAACAATTATGTAATAGAAGACAAAAATGATGAAACATTTGACTTAGCTAATGGGATTACCACCACTTTAAATGCAGTTATTAATTCTCTTACTTCAGTTGTACCATGGTTAGCTACAGTAGCAGGACTCATTAACGAAATCATAAAAATATATGAAGCAGCCCAATATAACAAAAAAATTTGTGCAGCTTTGATGGACCGTGTGACTTCAGCTGAAGCGGCTGTAAAAATTTTACAAAGAAGAAAGAAAGAGTTTGAAGAAAATTTTCGGAAAATAGAATACCAAAAAGCATTTATTAGACTGATAAATTCATTAGAAAAGATTAAAGAATTCATTGATGATGTAACTCAATTAAAAGGGTTGAATAAATATGTAATTGCAACCAACATTGAAAAAAGGTTTAAACAATTAACTGAAGAATATGAGGCCTGCATGAAAGATTTAAGCTTTACATTAATCATTACCTTTGATGAACAACGAAGAATTGACCGAGATAGCTTGAATTCTGATTTAAGTGAAATGACAAAGGTACGGCATCTTAACGTTT